TTAAATAATTGCTGGTGTGGGAGCATTAGAGCCACTAAACTGGAAAGAGAGGACAAGGTGGTCAGGAAGTGAGGGGCTTAAAAGTGAGAATAAGGGGCAACACGGTCATTGGCGATGACAAGGTCAAGCATGTGACCTCCAGAGTAGGAGGCTCAAGATCATTTGAGGCACGAAGGTCAAGGAACTGAGAGACCAAGGTGTCAGACAGATCACTCTCCAAAGAGTGACACTAGTAGATGTTGAAAATGAAGGCAGCGAGCCCAATGCTCAAGTCCTTAAGGGACAAGGAGGAATGACCAGGGTACTGGCAGGTGACAGTAACCAGCAGGGAGGCAGGATTTTCGTCTGATGGCATGAATTTCAAGGGAACTTTGTGTAGCATCTACAAGGCACTGGGATAGAAGATAGACGTAGTCTCCCTCCTAAGTGAAGTAGGTTAAGCAAGGAAGGGTTCTAGGCAAGGAAGTTACATGATCCAGCTAGATTTTGAAAAGATCTCTCGGACTACTATATAGAGAACAGATTGGAGGGAGGTTCAGTGGCATTAGGAGGCTATTACAGTTACTAAGACTGAGGTTGTCAAAGGGTGGACCCCAGACCAGCAGCATCAGCATCATTGAGAACTTGTTAAAAATGCACATTTTGGGGCCCCACCTCAGATCTACTGAATCAGAAACTCTAGGGGGGCCCTGCCATTGGAGTTTAACAAGCTCCCCCAGTGATTCTGATGTAAGCTGAAGTGAAAGGACTAGGGCAGTGGAGAGGGAGTGGATGAAGCTACAGCTTGTTAGGGGAAGAATAAGGACAGGGTAGCAAGGTGTAGCAGGGAAGGAGTGGGAAGCGCCAGGTTTCTGGGAGGAGGAAGTGGATGGCTGGGAGTATCCTGTACCCCAAAGGCATGGGGAAGGCTGGAGGAGGAGCCAAGGGGCAGGGCAAGATCAAAAGTTCTGTTCTGTCCACTGCATGGGGCACATGTGTTCCACAGAAGCTGACTGGAAAGTAACGCTGTGGGCAAGAACCACATTCTGCCCTAGTTCCCCACGTGAAATGCAAGACACGCTCTTGGAGGAAAGCTGCACTGGTGGCTCTGGGACATGGTGTGACAATGACACACGGTAGCTGTCTGTGGTCCAGTTAAGCTTGCCAATATTACACACTTGCAATTGAGGGCATGGTGGAAAGCACACTGAGCCTGGAATCCAGAGGAATCAGCCCTGGGGTTAAGTCTTTTCCCACAGTCATTTCACCTCTGTGAGCCCATTTCTGCATTTATTTTATTTTATTTTATTTTTGTATTTATTTTGTTTCTGTATTTATTTATTTATTTATTTTGAGACAGAGTCTCACTCTGTCGCCCAGGCTGGAGTGCAGTGGCATGATCTCCATTCACTGCAACCCCCGCCTCCTGGCTTCAAGCAATTCTCTGCCTCAGCCTCCCGAGTAGCTGGGATTACAGGTGCCTGCCACCATGCCCGGCTACTTTTTTCATATTTTTAATAGAGATGGGATTTCACTATCTTGGCCAGGCTGGTCTTAAACTCCAGACCTTGTGATACACCCACCTCCGCCTCCCAAAGTGCTAGGATTACAGGTGTGAGCCACCACGCCCCACCATTTCTGCACTTCTTAAACTGGGATTATAATATCTGCCTGAACTACCTAAAGGGAACACTGTTAGAGCCAAACGAGCCAATGCAAATCCAAATTTATTCGTAATTCTAAAATTTTTTCAATATAAGGCAGTATTCCAAATAGTCTAATAATTATTCTAATATTCTGTTACCAAAACTGCTTTTCTTGCTGGTAGCTGCCCACCTGCTATCATGTGATGGCGGTAGAAAGATGACCAATCCCTTCAAACACACTTTCCTTCCTGGTTATGGCTTTCAACTCACTGTATGAGGTCAATCCTTTGACTGGACCTTTTGCCTATAAAATTGCAGTACCCCTGGAATGGTAACACTCTACAAAAGATACCTACCTTTTATTTACTGCGTACTACGTGCTGGTGTTTCATAGTCACTATTTCATATGCCTTGAAGGAGTCCGGTGCACTAGATATTGCTATGCTCACTTTATAGATGAGGACATTGGGCTCAGAGACCAGGGGACTTAACCAAATTCACAGAGCTCGTGGAGGGCAGAGCCAGCACCTGACTGTGCCTGCCTGTGATGCTGTAGTCTCCCTGCTCTTGCAAGCAGCTTTGGATGGGCAGGGTCAGGGCACTGGGCATCAAGCCTGGGGAAAGGGAGCTTAGCTGGACAAGGAAAGGATGCCGAAGGCTGGGGCTTGAGGATCAGATTCAGTTGACCCTACCCAAGGCACAGGAATTGCTCTGTGGACTTTCTGCTCTGCTCTTATGACTTTTATTCACAAGCAGCTCTCTAATGTCTCAACCTTCCGTGGCACCCAATACTATTTGCTTAGACATTTGGTGGTGAAACGTTTCAACAGAGATGATGGAAGAACTAAGGGCCCAGGGAGGGCTCCAGAGGCAGGTGGGCTCCTTGTGTCCTCTAACCTATAGAACAAATGCGCAGAGGGGCTGGCTGCAGTGGCTCACACCTGTAATCCCAGCACTTTGGGAGGCTGAGGCAGGCAAATCACCTGAGGTCAGGAGTTTGAGACCAGCCTGGTCAACATGGTGAAACCCCCTCTCTACTAAAAATACAAAAATTAGCCGGGCCTGGTGGCAGGCACCTGAAATCCCAGCTACTTGGGAGGCTGAGGCCGGATAATTGCTTGAACCTGGAAGGCAGAGGTTGCAGTCAGCCAGGATCATGCCACTGCACTCTAGCCTGAGTGACAGGCTCTCAAAAAAGCAAAACAAAACAAAAGAACAGATGCACGGGGGCGGAGGGGGTTGAAGGAGGCTGCCACAGCCCTGGGGTCACTTTTCCAGGGGTCTTAATACAGCCCATTTTACACACGAACAGCATTATGCCTTGTTAACTTTGGTACAGGCAGGAGAGCGATTAGAGGAGTTTCAAAGCTGTGCTAGTTGATGACACCAGCATGTGACATGAGAGATGGGCTGAGCCAGGAAGGAGCCCATGTTCCCTATCTCATATACACAGAAACCGAGGGCCTTGTCTCCAGGCCCAGGATTGTTCAGCGCAACAGAATCCCAGCCTCCCCATGTGTTACTCAACGGCTTTAATCCTCTTAAAAAGAACTGCCGGCTGGGCGTGGTGGCTCACGCCTGTAATCCCAGCACTTTGGGAGACCGAGGCGGATGAATCACGAGATCAGGAGATCCAGAGCATCTTGGCTAATAAGGTGATACCCCGTCTCTACTAAAAATACAAAAAATTAGCCAGGCGTGGTGGCGGGCGCCTATAGTCCCAGCTACGCAGGAGAATCACTTGAACCCAGGAGGTGGAAGTTGCAGCGAGCTGAGATTGCGCCACTGCACTCCAGCCTTGGCGACAAAGCGAGACTCTGTATCAAAAAAAAAAAAAAAAAAAAAAAAAAAAAAAATTGCCCCGCCCGAACAACACAAACTCTGGGAAGAATTGGCATCTTCTGCATGAGCATGGCCTTCATGAAAGACTTTTCCCGCCGGGCGCAGTGGCTCACACCTTTAATTCCCAGTATTTTGGGAACCCAAGGTGGGAGAATCGCTTGAGACCAGGAGTTCAAGACCAGCCCCGGCAACATGGCAAGACCCCATCTCTACAAAAATAAAAAAGATTAGCCAGGCGCGATGGCCAACACCTGTAATCCTAGGTACTTGGGAGGCTGAGGTGGAAGGATCACTTGAACCCAGGAGTTTGAGGCTGCAGTGAGCTATGATCATGCCACTGCCCTCTGGCCTGGGTGTCAGAGCAAGACCCCATCTCTAAATAAATACATCAATAATAAAAATAAAGAATGTTTTCTGGCCAGGTGTGGTGGCTTATGACTGTAATCCCAGCACTTTGGGAGGATAAGGAGGGTCACTTGAGGTCAGGAGTTCAAGACCAGCCTGGCCAACATGGTGAAACCTCGTCTCTACTAAAAATACAAAAAAATTAGCCAGGCCTGGTGGAATCCCCCTTACTCGGGAGGCTGAGACAGGAGAATCGCTTGAACCCGAGAGGTGGAGGTTGCAGTGAGCCGAGATGGTGCCGCTGCACTCCAGCCTGGGTGACAGAGCAAGACTGTCGGGAAAAAAAAGTGTTTTCTGATCGTGCTCTTGGTACCAGTTCTCCTGAGAGTGAGCTTCACTGTGCTGGATCACAAATGTCCTGTAGAAAGACGTCTGGCTGGGGCCATGTCTCCACAGCCACAGCACAGAGCCTTGCATGAGAGGGAGGGAGGGAGGGAGGGATGGGTGATTGCTGGAAGAAGTTGCAGAATATCCCCTGGACCGCCTCCAAATACAAGTTCAGTGACACAGAACATCAAATTAGTTTTTCTGGTATGAAAGGCTATGTCTTGGGGGAGCACCTCTCCCACTGCCCTGCAGCCTAGACACCAGCAGTCGAGTACATGTAGTTACCACTGTTTTTGTTTTTATTTTTTTAATGGGTCCTGGCTCCTTCAATGGAGAGCCAGTAAGCAATTAAAACCCGCTTCTAAATCATCCTAAGTACTCCTTTGGAGTGGCTGCAAAAATCGATCATCCTCATGGATACAAAGGGGGAGAAAAGAAAAACAAAAGGAATTACTTTAACATCTTCATTTTCAGACTAGGTTAGGGCAGTAAAAAAGATGAGCAGTGGAGGCAAACACTGGCTCAGGGCCGTGGCAGCGGCAGCGGGATTCCAGGCAGAGAAGGGAGGGTAACAGAGGCTGTTCTGACCCTCCTTGCTTCTGAGGTCTCTTGCTGGGCCTCTGAGTAGCTCTGCAAGTCACTTGCCCTCCTGTGGAGGGCTGGGCATTGGGGCTCATTTTGACCACAAGTGTGTCGCTGGTTTTGGAGTCAAGCAGACATCTGTCACTGCCTAGATTTAATTCCCACAGCTGTGTGACCCTCGGCCATTTGCTTACTGTCTCTGAGCCTTAATTTACTCACCTGGGAGGAACAATAGGACTGTTCGGAGTAAGTGAAGTAGCACACTGGGCGTCAGGGCACACTCGGGGCCGCGCCGGCACGCAGGGGACCTCGCCCGCCCGGGATTACTGCCTGGAAACGGCTTGCGGGGACGGTGGAGGATAACCGGGGGTGAGCACCGCCCGCGTCCAGAGCCGCCTTCCGCGTTTTCTCCCGCCAGCCAGGCTGAGCGCCGCTGAGCGCCGCTGCGGGTTGTGGAGACAGTCCGCCCTCTAGTGGCCGACTTCAAAAGTTGCGTCAAAGACAACGCTGAATGAAAAGTGTTGGGGCGCCTTAAGCCGATGGACAGCATGGAAAGGGGGCTACCTTTCCCTTTCCGTTTACCAGAGTGGACAAAGGCTGTTCCATCGTTTCTGGGAGCCCTAGAGGGAATCCGGTTGCACCAGCCTGCACCCTCAGGCTACTGAACTGACCACAGTGGGTTAAACTGGAAAAGTTTCTTTGTTTAGGCAGGAAAGACTCAGATTTAACGCACATTTACTGAGCACCTGCTACGTTCCTATCTCTGTGCAGGATGTTTTCACTTACTTCACCCATTTAAACCTCTCAGTAAGATCGGGCACGGTGCCTCACGCCTGTAATCCCAGCACTTTGGGAGGCTGAGGAGGGAGGACCTCTTGAGCTCAGTTCAAGAACAGACTGGGCAACAGTGAGAGCCCTCTCCACAAAAATTAAAAAGTTAGCTGGGCATAGTGGCACACGCCTGTGGTCCCAGCTGCTAGGGATGCTGAAGTGGGAGGATTGCTTGAGCCCAGGAGATTGAGGCTGCAGTGAGCCATGACTGTGCCATTGCACTCCAACCTGGGCAACAGAGCGAGACGGAGTTTCACCATGTTAGCCAGGATGGTCTCTTTCTCCTGACCTCGTGATTCACCTGCCTCCGCCTCCCAAAGTGCTGGGATTACAGGCGTGAGCCACCGCGCCCGGCCCAAGCAGTGGTTCTTAAACGTGGATATATATTGGATTTCCTGGAAATTAAAAAAAAATATGTTTGTGGGCTGGGCGTGATGGCTCATGCCTGTAATCCCAGCACTTTGGGAGGCCAAGGTGGGTGGATCACCTGAGGTTAGTAGTTCGAGACCAGCCTGGCCAACATAGTGAAACCCCTTCTCTACTAAAAATACAAAAATTAGCCAGGCGTGGTGCCACACGCCTGTAATCCCACCTACTCAGGAGGCTGAGACACGAGAATAGATTGAGCTCAAGAGGCGGAGGTAGCAAATGATCTGAGAAGGCGCCACTGAACTTCAGCCTGGGCAACAGAGTGAGACTCTCTGTCTCGAAAAAAAAAAGTGAATATATTCATATATATGTGTATATATATATGGTTGTGAGTTCACCTCAAGAGATTACGATTTAATTGGCACATAGTTGACATAGTTGTGCCAATTAAATGTGTCTAGACGCTGGGATTAAAACAAAACTCCTCAGGTGGTTCTAAGGAGAGGTCAAGATTAGAACCATTGACTAGAGCACCTTTCCATCACCATTTGATAGGCTCCGCCTCAGAGGAAGGCTATGCCCTTTCCTTGCTTCGCTGCCAGGGAAAGGAGGCCAAATTTGTCTTTAGTTCTGCAACCTTGGCTCCATTTTGGTTCCCATTTTTCTTATTCCTTTTTTTTTTTTTTAGATGGAGTCTCGCTCTGTTGCCCAGGCTGGAGTGCAGTAGCATGATCTCGGCTCACTGCAACCTCCGCCTCCTGAGTTCAAGTGAGTCTTCTGCCTCAGCCTCCTGAGCAGCTGGGATTACAGGTGCATGCCACCACATCCAGCTAATTTTTGTATTTTTAGTAGAGACGGGTTTCACCATATTGGTCAGGCTGGTCTCGAACTCCTGACCTTGTGATCCTCCCGCCTCAGTCCCCAAAAGTGCTGGTATTACAGGCATCAGCCACCACGCCCAGCCTATTTTTCTTATTCTTCAAACACATCTGCTCTTCACACCTGTCAGACTCACAACCTAGTACGTGACACACATTAGGCCCTTAACAAATGTCTGAAGAAGAAAAGGAGGGAGAAGAATCACAAGGGAAGAAGTACAAAAGAATGGGATTGGAATAGGGGAGTTCTTGAAAAAGTGATGTTTCTGGAAAAGGGGGATTTCACGGTACCCACTGGGGGAGAATATTCGTGCAAATAGTGCCCAGTGATGGATAATCACCCAGGGATTTGCCTCCCAGTGATACCACATAAGGGCATCAAATCACATTCACAACCTTAAATTTAATAGTTGTGCCTGAAGTGAGGACGAATTACCTTGGGGTATCAGTTCCCCTTCCCACCAAACCCCCAGAGCTGGCAAATGACAGTCCAACAAGGTCTCCTCCGAATGCTGAGTGCCCTGGAAGGCAGAGTGAAGCTCTGACCCCATTGTGTTGTGAGGTGGAGAATAAATGATAGTGGTTTCCTTGTGCCCTGGCTTGTTTCTCCCCCCGGGCTTCATCCATTCCCACCCTCAGAGCTAACTGGGGCTGACTGGGAATGGGCTAATTAGGACTGGCCTTTCCCTATATGCACTTCCCAGAAAAGGAAAACATGAATTCACAGGTCAAAGTGGCAGATTTCAGAATCACAACTACGTGAAATGAAAAACTGCATTTTAGATGACAGAATCCAACTATGCATATAAAAACAGTTACATAGATCATGTAATATGGCCTAATAAATATACAAAAAGAGATAAAAGAAGATAATGACAATGCAGACAAGAACAAGAAAACATAGAAAAGAAATATTAGATATGTAAAATATCATAGTTGAAGTGAACACATCACATGGATAAATAACAAAATGGATAGAAATAAAAAATAAAACAAAATAAAAAAATAACAAAATGACAATTTGCAAAACTTATTGTCAACTTGGAAGAACAGGTGGAGGAAATCTTTCAGAAGCGAGAAGGAAATAACGTATAAAATATAAAGACGTATAAAATATAAAGAAAAAACTAGGTTATGTGGAAGACAGAAGTACTAACATCCAGGGAATAAGAATTCTAGAAAGAAGAAAAATGAACAGAAATAAATATTTGAAGAAAAATGAGATGATCTTCTGTAACTGTAAAAAGATGAAAGAAAGATAAAAAAGGTTATAGAGAAAAGATAAGAACATTTTATAGTAAAATTAAAATTTTCTAGGCTGGACATGGTGGCTCACAGCTGTAATCCCAGCACTTTGGGCGGCTGGGGCAGGAGGATCACTTGAGCCCAGGAGTTCAAGACAAGCATAGGCAACAAAGTGAGATCCCGTCTCTACAAAAAGTTTTAAAAATTAGTCAGGCATGATGATGCATGCCTGTAGTCTCAGCTACTCAAGAGGCTGAGGTGGGAGGATCATTTGAGCCCAGGAGGTTGGGGCTGCAGTAAACTGATTTCACCACTGCATTCCAGCCTGGGTGACAGAACAAGACACCATCTAAAAATAAAAAATTTTTTAAAAATGGGAAAAAAGAAAGAAAAAAGAATTTCAAAGAAACAGAGAAAATTCTAAAAGATTGTCAAGAGAAAGAGAACATCACAAAAAGAGGATTGAAGTCAGATTGACATCAGATTTGTTTGTTTGTTTGTTTGTTTGTTTGAGACAGAGTCTCGCTGTATCACCCAGGCTGCAGTGGCATGATCTCTGCTCACTGCAACCTCCACCTCCCGGGTTCAAGCAATTCTCCTGTCTCAGCCTCCTAAGTAGCTGGGACTACAGGCGCCCACCACCATGCCTGGCTAATTTTTTTTGTATTTTTAGTAGAGATGGAGTTTCACCATATTGGTCAGGCTGGTCTGGCCTCAGGTGATCTGCCCACCTCGGCCTCCTAAAGTGTTGGGATTACAGGTGTGAGCCACCATGCCTGACCTGACATCAGATTTTTTTAACAGCCACAACTGATGTAAGAAAATAGCGGAATGAGCTGGGCATAATGGGTCACACCTGTAATCCCAGTTACTCCAGAGGGTGAGATGGGAAGATTACTTGAGACTAGGAGTTTGAGACCAGCCTGAGCAACACAGTGAGACCCCATCTCTAAACAAATATTTTAAATTAGCCGGGCACAATGGTGCGCTCCTGTAGGCCTAGCTACTCAGGATGCTGAGGTGGGAGGATTTCTTGAGCCCCGGAGTTTGAGGCTGTCGAGAGCTATGATGACACCATTGCATTCCAGCCTGGGCAATAGAGCGAGACTCCATTTCTAAAAAAGAAAAAAAAAAATGAAGAAAGAAAGGAAAAAGGAAAAGAAAAAGAAAAAAGAAAATTAAAAAATGGTGGAGGAATGGTATGGTATTCTCAAAATAATAAAGGCAAAGAAACCATCCTCAATTTTATTATTTATTTATTTATTTATTTATTTATTTTTGAGATGGCATCTCACTCTGTTGCCAGGCTGGAGTGCGGTGGCACGATCTTGGCTCATTTCAACCTCCGCCTCTCGGGTTTAAGCAATTCTGCTGCCTCAGCCTCCCAAGTAGCTGAGACTACAGGTGCACACTACCACTCCCAGCTAATTTTTGTATTTTTAGTAGAGACAGGGTTTCATCATGTTGGCCAGGATGGTCTTGATCTCTTGACTTCGTGATCCGCCCACTTCGGCCTCCCAAAGTACTGGTATTACAGATGTGAGCCACCGTGCCTGGCTTATTTATTTATTTTTTTGAGATAGAGTCTCGCTCTGTTGCGCAGGCTGGAGTCGGGTGGTGTAGTCTCCACTCACTGCAACCTCCATCTCCTGAGTTCAAGCAATTCTCCTGGATCAGCCTCCCGAGCAGCTGGGACCACAGACGTGTGCCACCATGCCCGACTAATTTTTGTAATTTTAGTAGAGATGGGGTTTCACCATGTTGGCCAGGCTGGTCTCAAAATCCTGACCTCAGGTGATCCACCTGCCTTGGCCTCCCAAAGTGTTGGGATTACAGGCGCGTGCCATCGCGTCTGGTCGATTAGAACTAACTCAATCCTATGCATCTGGGACTAAACATCCTCCAAATTGTTGGGTTTTTCCAAATTTGTCCATGATTCTACAAACTGGTGCTTCTGGCTAATTCTGATTTTCACAAGGGTCTAGAAATTGGAATATGTTTTCCACACTAACTCTGTGACTTGCAGTGTGGCTAACCAATCTAGACCAAACATGCAGATCTGGATTG